TTTGCATTTCTTTTTCTTGGGGATGGTCTTGAGCATTGCCTCCTGTACAATGTCATGAACCTCCATCCATAGTTCTTCAGGCACTCTGTCTATCGTATCTAATCCCTTGAATCTGTTTGTCACTTCCACTGTTACTTACATAATCGTAAGGGATTTGACTTAGGTCATACTTGAATGGTCTAGTGGTTTTCCCTACTTTCTTCAATTTAAGTCTGAATTTGGCATCAAGGAGTTCATGACCTGAGCCACAGTCAGCGCCCGGTCTTGTTTTTGCTGACTGTATGGAGCTTCTCCATCTTTGGCTGCAAAGAATATAATCAATCTGATTTTGGTATTGATCATCTGGTGATGTCCATGTGCAGAGTCTTCTCTTGTGTTGTTGGAAGAGGGTGTTTTCTATGACCAGTGCGTTCTCTTGTTAAAACTCTGTTAGCCTTTGTCCTGCTTCATTCTGTAATCCAAGGCCAAATTTACCTGTTACTCCAGATATTTCTTGACTTCCTACCTTTGCTTTCCAGTCCCCTATAATGAAAAGGACATCTTTTTGGGGCTTCTGCAAGGCTTCAACAGTACATTAACCATGAACTTCCAGATGTTCAAGCTGTATTTAGAAAAGGCAGAGGAACCAGAGATCAAATTGCCAACATCTGTTGGATCATAGAAAAAGCATGAGAGTTCCAGAAAAATACCTACTTCTGCTTCATTGACTACATCAAAACCTTTGACTGTGTGGGTCACAACAAACTGTGGAAAATTCTTCAAGAGATGGGCATAGCAGACCACCTGACCTGCCTCCTGAGAAATCTGTATGTAGGTCAAGAAGCAACAGTTAGAACTGGACATGGAACAACGAACTAGTTCCAGATTGGGAAACGAGTATGTCAAGGCTGGATATTGTCATCCTGCTTATTTAACTTATATGCAGAGTACATCATGTGAAATGCTGGGCTGGATGAACCACAAGCTGGAATCAAGATTGCTGGGAGAAATATCAATAAGATAAGATATGCAGATGCCACCATCCTTATGGCAGAAAGCAAAGATGGAACTGAAGAGCCTCTTGATGAAAGTGAAAGAGGAGAGGGAAAGAGTTGGCTTAAAAGTCAACATTCAAAAACTAAGATCATAGCATCTGGTCCCATCACTTCATGGCAAATAGATGGGGAAATAATGGAAATGGTGACAGACTTTCTTTTCTTGGACTCCAAAAATCACTGCCGATGGTGACTGCAGTCATGAAATTAAAAGATGCTTGCCCCTTGGAGGAAAAGCTACAACCAACCTAGACAGCATATTAAAAAGCAGAGACATTACTTTGCCAACAAAGATGCATCTAGTCAAAGCTAGGGCTTTTCCAGTAGTCATGTATGAATGTGAGAGTTGGAGCATAAAGAAAGCTGAGCACTGAAGAACTGATGCTTTTGAACTGTGGTGTTAGAGAAGACTCTTGAGAATCCCTTGGACTACAAGGAGATTAAATCAGTCAATCCTAAAGGAAATCAGTCCTGAATATTCCTTGGAAGGACTGATACTGAAGCTGAAGCTCCAATTCTTTGGCCACCTGATGCGAAGAACTGACTAATTGGAAAAGATCCTGATGCTGGGAAAGATTGAAGGCAGGAGGAGAAGGGGACGACAGAGGAGGAGATGGTTGGATGGCATAACCGACTCGATGGACATGAGTTTAAGCAAATTCTGGAAGATGGTAATGGACAAGGAGGCCTGGCGTGCTGCAGTATGTGGAGCTACAAAGAGTCGGACATGACTGAGTGACTGAATTGAATTGAACTATGGTTTATCACAGGATATTGAATATAGTTCCCTGTTTTGTACTGCAGGACCTTGTTTATCCACTCTATATATAATAGTTTGCATCTGCTAACCCCACACCCCAGTTGACCCCTCTCCTCCCCTCCCCTTTGGCAACCACAAGTCTGTTCTGTATGTCTGTGAGTTTATTTCTGTTTAGTGCATTCTTATTAATGTCTACATTATATTCCATTGTCTGTATGCACATAGTTTATTTTTTACTGATGGCCATTCAGGCTGTTTCCATGCTTTTACTTTGTTAGAAAATAATGTAACAAACATCCTTGCACATACCAGATCTCTGGGTCTAAGCATATTAAAGAATCTGACAGATCTTAATTGTCACATTATGAGGAATGGTCAGTCTCTGAGAGAACTCTTCTCCCTATCATGCTGATGAATTAGCTTTCCAAAGGAAGTGGCCTTGTTCTCTTAATTTCTTAGGATATCCACATCATAACTCTTTATTATAACATATTCTAACATTTTACACTTGACTGTTGCAGTTTCCTTAAACCAGTTTCCAGATCTTTGGATAAGTTTTGTGGTGGGTAGACTGGAATCCATTGGAAAAGACCCTGAGGCTGAGAAAGATTAAGGACAGGAGGGGAAAGGGACAACAGAGGATGACATGGTTGGATGGCATCATCGATTCAGTGGATATGAACTTGGGAAAACTCCAGGAGATGGTGAGGGACAGGGAAACCTGGTGTGCTGCAGTCCACAGGGTTTCAAAGAGTTGGACATGACTTGGCAACTGAACAGCAACAATAGGCTGGAATCCGGTACCTGTCTTTGAAATGTCAAACAATAACATATGAACACCCTGTCCTCAGTATTTTATTCAGCCCTCTAAATAAATTTCACAATCCAAAATAATTCAACAATAATTTCAATTATTTAAATTTTTAAAGTTGAATGAGCTCATAACACATCCTACTGTATCTCAGCAAGTTGGCACTTATGAACCAGACCTTTCTGTATCTGTAAACCATCATTTAGTACAAATGCAGCATCTCAATGCATGCCAAGGAAACCCAGAATGAGGGTTTCACCTAAAGATAATCTTTAAAGTAGCCACATATTTCTGCCCTGATGTGAGGCTAATACTAACTATAACCATAGGTCCCAGGTAGTACAGGACCGGAAGACTGGACCTGGGATGACTCATGGAGAGAGGCTTTCTTGATGAGACCATGATGGCCCAAAGGATGGGAGGCCACATATAAGCTGGTTTCCAAGTCTGTCCTTCTGTGTTTAATCAAGGCTGAATCAACAAGTTCACATTTCATAACTTTTCAGCAGAGAAGAAACATCCAAGTTTTAACTTGCTGTAATGCTTTGATGCGAAACACATGTTTGACTTGAGACAATGTTGCTCTTTTTCTCTGAATAGTGGTTGATGCTTAGGTACTAACTTCATTCTCTGGTTACAGGGTATTTTAGGTTCATTTTTACTTTTTATTCAATGTGCCTACAAGAAAAAAGCTACATTACTTGGTTGTTTTTATTATTAAGGTACCATACGCTCATTCAGCTCCTATTGAATTTATATTTGAAGGTACAATTTACATGAATTACATTCAAGTTTACCCTTTTGTAATATTTAATTTGAGTTTTTGTGCCAAGTTCTATGTTCTTTTCTTGAAGACTGGCTTGTGGGATTGATGATCTAATTTGTGATTTGGTCCTATTAAATTCCTTGAGTGGGAAAGTCCTTATAGAACCTGGCTTTGTCCTTTGCCTGTTTCTTCCTGAGACTGACCTATATCATCCTCTACCCTACTTTAACAGGCTTCATTTTCCCAGCAAGGCAAGACAGAGCTCTGAGGACCACTGATGGGGTAAAAGACTTCAGCCATGGAGAGCAGGGGAAAAGGAAACACCAGCTTGGCTATGTGACAATTTTTGGTAAGAGATGTGGCTAGATTTGACAAGGGAGCAAATGTCTGAGCATCTCTTCTCTTTGGGACTTTGAATGGCACCATATCACACATCCCATCTTCCTTCCTAAGATTTTTAGTTTGACCATTCTCCTAAGTGTCCTGCAAACATGGATTGTCAGATTCCTGTGATTCTTCTGGTGGATACTGTGGAATCAAGCCCTTTAGTAGTAACACCCTGTATTGTCTGCTGTTTTCTTTGTGCTTTTAGCTTTCCTTTCCATCTAAAATGTAAACTTTTTGAAGTAAGAGACATATTTATTGTTTCTTTTTATCTCATGAAATCCCCAGTTCAGTGATGGACAAAAAGAAACTATATATTAAGAATTTGAAAAAGAATAGATATATGTGTATGTATAACTGAATCACTCTGTTGTATACCTGAAACTAACACAACATTGTCAATCAACTATAATATAAAACAGCCCCAGGTGGCTCAGTGGTAAAGAATCCACCTGCCAAGCAGGAGACTTGGGTTCGATCCCTGGGTTGGGAAGATCTCCTGGAGGACGAAATGGCAACCCACTCCAGTATTCTTGCCTGGATGATCCCATGGACAGAGGAGCCTGGTGGGCTACAGTCCATGGGGCCGCAAAAGAGTTGGAAGAGGCTTAGTGACTAAACAACAACATACTCTAATATAAAATAAAATTAAAAAAAATAAAAGCAGAAAAAATAAATTAGTAATTAATTATAGATTGATTATTCAAATAATCTCATCCTTCTTTGGGCTGAACTGTTAACTGCAGTTGTAGAGACTCTGAGGTCTAATCAACTATCAATGTGTTCTAATGTGATGTTTTTAAAATTTCCCACATACAAAATGGCTATAATTTTGATTCTCATGAAGAAGATACTCTATAAATAATGTATAATACATATATTATTATTCATGATGATAATGCAGCTAGGTCATAACTGGTAACTTCATTTCTAGGTTAAAGTATTGCATTTCTTAAAAAAATTCAGGAATAATTTAGTTAACTTGCAAAAGTAAGTTTATTGAAGCACAGAAACAATTAGAGCAAAGCTGTCTTTTCAACTTTTTCAAGAGCATTCTAATAAGAAGAGAAGACGATGCAGAAAAATTGGTTCGTCTTCTATTTCTGGATAGATACTTTTCCCTGAAGTGATCCTGAGAGATGGCTAGGTTGATGCAGTTTCTTCATTGGTGTCCTTTAGAGCTTTTTTGTTTTTTCCTCTGAAAGACACTCTTGTTGATCTGGAAATTGCTTATTTCAGTTTCACCTCAGAAACATTGCTGACTTGAGATGAGATGACTTTGCCATCCACCACCTCCTCTATGATGGTCTTAGTCACTCTACTCTTGCTTGGGTCTGAAAATCGCAGAATCACAATGTCAGTCTCACAGAAACTCACAGAAACATAGATCAAGAGAAATCCAAATGTATTCATTGAGTATGTTCTATCTGGGTAAGATGATGTGAACAGCACATACTTTTTGTTTGAGAAGCAAAGCGTGTCTTTATGTTTCCATTATAAAATAATCAGAAACATGAAAAAAAATATCTACCTCTGCCTGAGCCATCAGACATGGATGAATCCCTGGATCCCATGTTTCTGGATCCTGAACTTCTAAAATCAGATCCTCCAAAACCAGAACCACTGGAGAAAAAAAGAATGTTTGTTTTTGCACTTTGCAAAGGCAGGAGAAACCCTCCACGCAGCGGACTCTTTCCCAAGATGGCAGCAGTCTTTTCATGGGACTGTGTCACTGTTACATTATAAATACAAGTCTGGTCCCCATGCCCCTTTTTGGTTGCATAACATCAATACACCAAGGTCTGCATTTAGCATGTTCCTGACTTTCATTTACCCTCCTTCTCCATCAAGCAGGCGGCGGTAGGTCTCAATCTCCATCTCCAGGCGGGTCTTGATGTCCAGCAGCTGCTCATATTCTGCGTTCTGGCATTCGGTCTCACCCCGGATCTGGCAGATCTGCTCCTCCAGGCTGCTGATCTGCATCTGAATTTGTGACAGCTGCACCATGTAGTTGGCCTCCGTGTCGGCCAAGGTCCCTTCCAAGGAGCTTTTCTAAGAGAAAAGCAAATAAAAATATCATCATGAAAACAAATCATTGGATGATTTTTAAAAAATACATTTTATAAGATACCAAGAGAAATGCACTTTCCATGAGTTACAACTTCTATGGCTCTCTCTGCTTCCTTAATTTTTCTTGACATTATTTTTTTAAACTAAATCTTTCATGGAAATAGATATATTATCTTTAACTGGAATGCCTTATGCTTTTGACAACCATAATACAGTCCTCCCTAATCCTGCGTTTATGACATGCCAAGTGGGACATCTTGGCAAAGAAAGGAAACCAACTGCTCAACTTCCCTGTTGGAGAGTTTCGAGAAGTTCTTTGCACAAACCATGGCCAGTTGGGACTGCAACTCAATTTCCAGGGCTTGCAGAGTGCGTTTCAGTTCTGTGATCTCATTCTTGGCGGAACTGGCTGCCCCGGCATCAGTTGAGATCTGTGCTTGCAGTGAGGCACTCTAAATACAAATAAAATTCAGTTGTTGCAGGCTGGTGCAATGACAGGAAGTGGCTCACATGTGGCCACGGACTCAGAGGCTCAGGGTGATGATCTACCTGCTTGTTGAACTGCTCCTCGGCCTCACGGCGATTCTGCTCAGCCAGCTCCTCATACTGTGCCCTCATGTCATTCAGTAACTTAGTCAGGTCCGTGCCTGGGGCGGCGTTCATTTCCACAGTCACGTCCCCTCCGGAGCTTCCTTGCATACTCTTCATTTCCTAGCACGAAGCAAAAAGGATCATAGTGATGAAAAGCAATGACCTCCCAGACTACCCTGGTGGTCCAGTGGTTAAGAATCCACCTGCCAGTGCAGGGGATGGGTGCCACAACCACTCAAGCCAGTGTGCCCTAGAGCCGGTGCTCTGCAGCGAGAGAAGCCCCGCAATGAAGAGCAGCCCCTGATCGCCGCAACTAGAGAAATCAAGCAATGAAGACCCAGTGCAGCCAACAAAGAAAAGAGAAACTTAAAAGAAAAGCAATGCTTTCCTAAGATGTGCATAAGCCAACAAAAAGTTGAAACTAGGACACTGAAAGGAAAAAAAAAAACCCCACCAAATTCACATAACTTTCTCATGATTACTTTTTTCCTCCTGGTTACAGAAGCTGAAAGTCCATCCAGATGGAATTTATTTTATTTTTATAGAATGGATGTGGGGGAACCTCTGTAGGCCAGCATTGTTGATTAATGTGGACCCCGTTCCTACCTCCTCGTGGTTCTTCTTCAGGTAGGCCAGCTCCTCAGTGAGGCTCTCAATCTGCATCTCCAGGTCAGAGCGAGTCATGGTCAGGTCATCCAAGACTTTCCGCAGGCCATTGATGTCAGCCTCCACGGTCTGCCGGAGATGCAGCTCGTTCTCATATCTGGAAGAGTACAGTATAGCCCATTTCAAAGAGTACAGTCCATTCTCACATATGCAAGAAAACATTTTGTCCCCTGAGTAATTTGATCAATGAACGATAAGTTTTCTCTTAGGAGTTTTCCCTTTGTAAAGCAAAATCTGAACCGTACATTAACTCTATTGATATCTGATATTTTTGATAGCAAAAATTTCATCCTGAAATTGTTTTTGTTCTGCTCTTGTTTGTGGAATGAGGGTTTTGTAAAATGTACCCTTGGGATGTTTGTGAATTTAGGTCTTGATCCCCTAAAAGATTTCTTTAAAATTTAGAATAAACTAAGCCAAGGGATTGAATTTTATTTTTCCTACAATGTTTGTTTTCAAGTCTTCACTTTTCTTACTTCAGTCTGAAGTCATCAGCAGCCAGTCTGGCATTATCAATTTGCAGAATGATCCCAGAATTTTCAATGGTGGCAGTAATGATCTAGAAAAGACAATAGTAGTGAGTAAATTATGGTTGCTATGTTTTTAAACCTATGTCTACATGCCCGTCTGTGAGAGTAGATGTCTCCTGAGTGAACCTTTAAAAGTGAGTTAAAATTTGCTTAGTAATGACACCTGCATTGATGACCCTAATGTACTTAGACTACATCCTTCTGCAAAAATTAGCAGCCTGTACATTTGCTGGAATGAGCATGGAACTTTGTTTCACAGAACACAATCCTCTACATATTTTTGCTGTTTTGGAAGGTCAGTTATTCTATGAGTTTTTTCAGGAAATAAAAGAGTCTTTAAAAATATATTTCCCATATAACTATATCTAAACATGTTAGACTCCATCACATTCTCATACACAATTTGCACCAGGTTTTCGAAGAAGAAAAATAGTTATTAGGCTATTTAAGTCTAGTAGGAGGCTAAAGGACATCAACCTGTCAGAATTAATCATGATGAAAAATTAGAGGAAGCTAGTGTTGATTTATAGACATCACTCTTAGGTTAATTAGCAACCTGGCATTGTGTAAATTCTACTTTTATGTAGAAATACTCAAATGTGAGATGCAAACAAAAGTAATGTGTTTGGATGTCTTGTAATCCTGTTTTACACATACAACAAAACAAATATGTTTTCAAATAATTCTGTGACTTAAATTCATCATTCATGATTTGAATAAATGGGAAAGATACAGAAATAATAGAAACTCAGCATGGCTAGTGTCTCACCTGATTCCTGAGATCTTCAATGATTGGATAGTATTTGCTGTAATCTTTTCCAGCTCCACCATCCCCAGACCCGGGCCCAAATTTCTCATACCACTCCTTGATTTTGTTCTCTAGGTCAGCGTTGGCTTCTTCCAGGGCCCTGACTTTATCTAGGTAATTGGCCAGCCGGTCATTGAGGTTCTGCATGGTTTGCTTTTCACCTCCAGAGAAAAGTCCCCCGTCACCCAGGCCACCACCCACGCCACCACCATAGGTGTAGAAACCTCCACGAGTGCTTCCGCCATATCCCACACTCCCGCCGAAGCCAGAACCCCCGCCAAAGCTAGAGCCCCCACCAAAGCCAGAGCCCCCACCAAAGCCAATCCCAGAACCTGAAGCTCCTCCAAAACCGCCCCCTATGGAGGAGCTACCAAAGCCCCCTCCAAAGCCTCCGCTTGCGCCCCCACTCAGGCCACAGCTGCCGGCCCCTCCTCGGAAGCCCCGGGCAGAGCCTCCCCGGAGACCGTATCTGCTTCCGCTGCTGAAGCTGCTGCCACCAGCAGAAACCCTGACGGAGCTGCTGCCTCCAGCCCTGGAGGAGGACATGAGAGATGAGCAAGACATGGTGTTCCTGCGAAGGTCTGGCTTGTCCAGGTGAGTAGGAGAGGTGATCGTGAAGAACCTATTTGCAGGCTGCTTTTTGGGCCCTTATATTCACACTTTTAGGGTGTTCCTTGGCTGTGTCACTTCTTAATCCCTGTAACACCTTTGCTAATCTGCAACTGGATACTTTCCCCCCTCTGAACCCACTCTACTGGCTCATTCTCTGAAGCTAGGTCAGAGCCTCGGGGCCTCTACTAAATTAAGAAAAGAAATAAGGTGGAGCAAAGCAAAAAAAATTATTTTTCAGAATTACAGTTTTAATCTTTCAGAGGTTTGGTGACTGATAACTCTTTTCTGAAAGAGTAATTGTGTTAAATTTGCTTCATGATTTCCCAATTGCAGGGCATATCCCCAGATTAACAGGTGTAATGAAAATATACTTAATATGATGAGAATGGAAATTTCCCATCAAACTTCTGACTTTTTGTTCATTTTGTTCTCTTTAAGTTGAAAGGAGCGTTAGCATCAGCATTTCTTTCGGGTTTGCTTGTCCTTCTCTGATTGTTTCAATTGCCTATTTCTAAGGTTTTTGAAGTTTGTGACTTTAGATGATTGTCTTTCTTTGTATAATATTTTGAGATCGAATTGGATATTTCTACTGTTACTAAGAAACTCTGAAACAATGGTATTCCACATTTATATGTATGCATTATTAGATCTTAATGACATTTATTTGCTCAGAGAAAGTCTAAGAAAGATTGAGAAAGTGTTCAGGCAGATGGTTTTAGTATCAGATCAGAGTTACCGGTGTGATGCTGTGCTGCAAAGATGCTTTTCTTTCTGACTGAACTGGAGTATGATATAATGATACTGGTGACTTAAAAAACAGTCACAACCTAGAAGCTGAGAGTTATGTTTTGTTCCCAGGCTTCAGGTCCTAAAAATTCCCACCAACTAGAGCATGACTCTCTACTTCTAGGTTGTGACTATTTTTTTTTAAGTCAACAACATCAACTTCTTTAGAATCATATCTTAAGAAATGAAGAGATAATGTTGATTTTCTTGATAACTAGGGAAGAGGATCTGAATCACTCCTTTTAAAATTTATTTATTCATTCATTCATTCATTTATTTTTGGCTGCACCATGAGGCACTCAGGATCTTAGTGCCCCAACCAGAGAGTGAACTGTGTCCCTTGCAGTGGATGTGCGGAATCTTAACCACTGGACTGCCAGGAAATTCCCTACATTTACTTTATTTTTTATTTTATTTAAAAAAAATTTTATGTGATTCACTTCTGAGAACCAGTGTTAGGCTTGGAGTTGTTTTGCAGATACCCAAACCTGGAGTTTCCAGTCTACTCTCTGCTCAGGTTTTTTCTGTTTTTGTTTGAAAGATATTTAGAAAAGAGGATCTAGATCCACTTCTGATAACTAACGTTATGGTTGAGATCATATTTCATAGATACTGAAATCTAGAGTCCTCCCCCGTTGTTCACTTTCTGCTTCCTGTTTTTCTGTCCCTTTGTTCTTTAGATTATTTCCATTTGCCTCTGCTAGTAGTTTCTCTGGTTTGAAAGTGCCTTTTTTTTTTTTTTCTGTTTAGATAAATACTGCATGATTCTATTTATATGAGGTACCTGGTGTAGTCAAATTCAGAGACCAAAAATAGAATGGTTGTTGCCAGTGACTGGGGGAGGGGAAATTAGTTGTTTAATGGGTACAGGGTTTTAGTTTTGCAAGAGAAAGGAGTTCTGGAGGTTGGTCACATAATAATGTGAATGTACATAACATTCCTGAACTGTACACTGAAAAATCATTTAGATGGTAAATTTTACGTTATGGGCATTTTGCAGCAATTTTTAAAAAGTGGGTTTTTTTAGGAAGGTATAGATGCTTTCAAAAATATTTCTTGGCTTGCTGAGCTTTAGGCCCAAGTTGCTGACTTTTATTTACAATTTTCTTGCTTATCTTGGCAGTCTCTGTTAAACTGTGTGCGTTCTTGAATCTTTATATTCAATTGTTTGTTGTCCAGTGTTTTGCCTGCTTTGATTTCTTTCTGAGACTGCCTTTGATGGAGACATATTATTAAACAGGTGATTGTTCCTTTTACTGTGTAACTCTTTAGGTTCTTAGCTTTTAGGTTCTACTGCATTGTTTTTGCAGTAATGGTGTGTCACTGTTTTTACTTTTAGTGATCAGTGCTTTGAGGGTTCAAGGTGTTTCCTAAACTTTAAATCATTAAACTGGGAGTAGTTCTCATTACTCTGTTCTAAGGTAAGTTAAAAAATGCACCACCCATTAAAGTACTTCGGTCACCTTGCCTAACCTCTCCCCAAAGCTATGAAACCAAAGAAGTCTAAACAGTAATGGATAAATTATATGCAAATATTAGGGTTCTGGGAGGAACAGTCCCTTTCTTTTCCTTCCTTTTCGAATGATGAAATGTAATCTTTCCACTTTCATAAAGGCTGGCATTTGGCTAAAAAGTATAAAGAAAGGCACAATACCTAAGTGGAAGAAACTTGGTGAAACTGAGAAATTTCAGATCCTCGGTAGAAAGAGCTTTAGGTGAGAAGAATGAGAAGAGATAAAGTTTAGCAGTATCTTTGGCCTCTGAATTTTTCCTGCGGTTTGTGGAGTTTTTCTATAGTTGTCATCTGAGTTGTAGCAGTTTCAGTTTGGAAACTTTATGTACCGTATATTTTGGGATATTTAGATATTTGAGTCTTAACTGAGGAAGCTTGAGATGACTGAGGTATTCTTGTTTCTTATTTTTAGCTTTCTTCTTGATACAATTTTAAAAGCTGACATCTATCTCTTCTTTGTTTTTAAAATTCAGTTTAAAAATTCACTTATTCTGGAAATTCTCTGGCAGTCCAGTCTTTAGAACTTAGAGCTGTCATGCTGGGACCTGGGTTCGATCCCTGGTTAGGGAACTAAGATCCCTCAGAAAAAAAAAAACTAAGTGATTCTGAGATGCTTCTCTGATATTATTCTTTTATTCTTTATTCTATACTTTGGAGATGACTGCTGGGAAAGGCATTTAATAAGTAAATGGCCATTGTGTATGTGTGTGTGCTCAGTCATGTCTGACTCTTTGCGACCCCGGGGACTGTAGCCTGCCAGGATCCTCTGTCTATGGAATTTTCCAGGCAAGAATACTGGGTCAGGTTGCCATTTCTTACTCCAGGGGATCTTCCTGACCCAGGGATCAAACCCATGTCTCCTGCATATCCTGTGTTGGCAGGTGGATTCTTTACCACAGAGTCACATGCGAAGCCTGGCCTCAAATTCTTTTCTTTCTTTCTTTTTTTTTTTTTGAGATTTCATAGCTTCATTTTATTTTTTATTTATTTTTCAAATTCTTTACCTAATGAGGCAGTGGGTGAATAAATGTGGATGTAAACCCGTAGGAATTCCCTCTGTTTGGATTTCCTTAAATGCATTTTTATGCTTTCTCTTTCTATGTGCCTTTTCTTTTAAATAGTGACTCTATCCAACAGACTAATCTAGATTCCGTGAGTTACAAACTTTCTGGAATGTTGGCATTTCATGAATTAAAGAATTTTAATGACATATGTAAATAAAGTGTTCTTCTTGTTTGAAGTGTTAGAATTCTTTAATAAACCTTAGTCCCTGTTGTTCTCAGACATCTCTGAATTTAATAATTTGTTTACTTAAAATAATGATTTGCCAAAGATTACACATTAGTTCTCGGCATTTCTTTCACTTGTAAAATGAAAGCTTTCAGAATCGGATGAGGTTCCAGTGAAACAGAACATTCAGGAATGCTGGCTTCAGTGCCTGGCATCCAGTAGTTTTTTAATATATAATTGTTTAAAAGCAATAGACTAAATCCTGGGTGTCCAGGCTCCCAGCTCAATGTTCTGCCTTCAGTTCCATGTATGTTTGATTACTTTGTGATTAGCAGTTCATTTATTTATGTATTTTTACCTGTGAAGGATCATATAAATGACACTTCACTGTAGCACCTGACTTTTATAATAAGTGCAGAATGATTTGCCAATAGTAACCACCAGCATTTTTTTTTTTTTGTGAGATGGATTTGTATTTTAAAAGATTTCAGAGGAATAAGCTGCATGTTTTTAGATTAGGAGGAAAACTAAACACTGAAGAATATGGCATGTTGCCCCTGGTTAATTTTTTGTTATTAATAGAATGATCTCAGGGTATCTACTGTCTGTTCATTCCAGAGAATACTGAGAAAAAAAGCACAAGATCAGATTAACTAAGGGAAGGGAGTGGGCACCAGAGAATTTGTGGCGTGTTGGCAGAAATTTTGGTGGCAGATAGCCGGGGAAAGGGAAAAGCTCCAATTTGATGTGTGCACAGTCTCTCTGTAATACATGACATACTGCAGATAGTCACTAAGTATTCCTTGAAATGAATGAAATACAGCCTGGCCTGACTTGCTTTGTGAACACTTTGATCACTTTTGTCCCCTACTGTTTGTTCTGCCTTCTAAGTCTTTATTTCTCCATCTTCTGGGTTTGTGATTGTGTGTGTGTGTGTGTGTGTGTGTTGGAAGGGTTATTGGTGAGGAGGGGTGCTATTTGTGGAGGGAGCAGCAAGGACATGCCAGAAAGAGCCGGGGCCTCCCCTGTAGAGAATCATTTTTTAGGGTAGTGTCCTGGTGGTGCCCACTGTGAGCCCCAACAGGCTCAACTACTTGGAGGAAAAAAAAATTTTTGCAACAAGAAGTATTCTGAGAGGTGGTTCTAGTTGGATCTGGCATCATCCTTAAATCTATTTCAACCTGGTGCTCTTGTCAGACACCAAAGAAGTTACAGATAGAGCAGAAATCCACCAATGCTGTGAGTGCTTATCTTCCTTCACACCTTCCTCTCCTACCTGAATTCTTTCTGTTATCTTTCCATTCTTCTCTTGGTAGCTTCAGTTAAGTGTGTCTGCTTAAGGCCTTTGCTTCCCCACCTGCATCTGTTCAGTGACATTTTGCCAAATTTTGTTCTGAAAGAAAATGACTTAGCTTTGTACGTG